CTGCTGTATTGTGTTTTGGCTCGTCTAAGTTTTACTTTGTTTAGCTTCGTTTGCTTGTGAGGTGGTTCTGTTCTGTTAGTTTTTTTTTTTTGCTCGTTGCGCTGTAGAGAGGGGATTCTTGTTTCCACCTCATGATGGACGTGTTTTTTGGCACATCCAATTAAATTACTTGAATTTAAAAGTACTCTGCTTCATCTGAGTTTATTATATGTTTGCTTCCCTAGTGACTATTGTATCATCTAGTTCTTTTCATTCTGGAAGTTCGATTTCCTCTCCAATAGTCCAGCCAAATTCATTGAAACGATTCTCATTTTTAAGAACCCAGTCACCCTTATGAGCACATAATTTCTTGCAATCCTCAACTTTTGTGGCCCTCCTGGATTTCTCTGGAAGCTGTTGAGAAATATAAATTCTTTCAACTCACCAACTTCTTCTGAGTCCATTCTTGAATTTGTTATATATCTTCCCCTTTTTATACATCGATCAGGTTGTATCGTGTAATGGCATTAGACCACTTCTTGTTATCAGCTGAGGAAATGGACAAAATGACTGGACGATGCAGCAATTTTGCTGCTTTGTTATTCTTACTCAGCCATAGCCTTGTCTAATCTGAGCACAGTAGTGCAACTACAGCTTGGATCACAAGGCTGATAGCTCCAGCAAACAATATATTAGTGACAATGACTTTGATCGATGGCGGTCTTTATTGCGGACGATCCTCGTTTCTGTGAATATGGCGGTGGTATGGCTGATTGTGCCACTGACCATGGGCAACAGGTTACTCTGCGTGCTGTCGAAAGCTGCAGTGGTGACATGACGAGCAACGCAGAGTATATAATACTGGTGGTTGGGAGTTACGGCGCTTACTTTCGATTGACCAAGGATGAGATTGATCGTAAGTTTCCTTGTATCATTGTCTACACACCAGACCCCATGCCCGAAGAGGATACGTTCTCCTTGGTAAGGAAGATGAAGGAGCAATTGGATCTCCCAGTGTTAGCCATTGCCGACAGTAGTCCACGGTCGGTGAAGAATTTCTCTCTTTTCGTAGCAGGAGGATGCGACATAAAGTGGTTGGGACTCCGGCCTAGTGATGTGGTGGCGTTAAAAATGCATCCACTGTGTATGCGGCCCATGAATAGCAGGGATCTTAAGCTAGCACAACGTCTCTTGGAAAAAGATGCAGTCGTGAAGCAACGTCCGGAATGGGTTGAGGAGCTCAAGAAAATGGTGGAGACCCGCAGCAAAGTAGAAGTTGAGGCTTTGTCCCCCTTAGGGTGGAGCTTCTTGTCCAACGTTTATTTTCCAGACAAGATGGCAGCACAGGATTGGATATGACTCACTCACTAGTGCTCATATATGGCTATAGCTACCTTAATTATTACTAGGTATCTTCTAAATTATTCTGTTTGGCATGCTCAATATACTATTTGTTTTTCTTTTTATGGATGATGATGGTGATGATGATGATGCATATTGTTTGTTAATTTCTCTTTAATTTTTCTTTCTAGATTTGGGTTTGATTTGATGCATTTATATATAATCAATCGAGACTTCAATTCAGATAGGAAATGTTTCTGCTATCACTATGATTCCTGAATTTTTTATTTTTTTTTCACTCTTTAACTTATATGAGTGAATTTTGAATGGAATGTGTTTAGAGAGATGAATTTTGCTGGAGTTCATTTGGCAAGCATGGGTCACCAGCTGGATTTGGGATTGCATACATTTGATATATTCTCTACTGAGAGAACGACTACAACCCCTAGAGAGGGTGGGTCTCTAAATCCCTATCAGCGATATTTCTTCCGATCCCAAACCCAGTGGGATTCCTATTCTTCTGTTATTTTCTCTCTTCCCTTTCCTCTGAAGATGTGATCGCAAAACAGAGAATTGGACAAACTGATTTTATTAACTTCTTCGATACAATAGTACCCTATATCATTGGTTGTTTATAATTACATTTACACCTTTACATAATAAGGCACAACTCTGGGACACAACTCTTGAATTAATTCCAAGAGATACAGATACAACTTCTCATATAGTCAAGAGATATAACTCTTCATAAGAAACCTGTAAGGAAAGATACAACTAATAATTTTATTTTCTAAATTTAAACTATAGACGATGCATTACTTTTAATAGAAGCTCACCTTACAATGGATGTACTCTTACAGATCTATACTTATTAAACACTATTGATGACTCTCTAGATTCCAACTCTTCAAAGTGGTAAAGGCTCAACCAGCATGGATTGGATCAGCCGAGAGCCTTGTTCTTGATCACCAAATCCATCTCCAGCTTGGTAAAGGCTGTGCGTCATTCGCGCAATATTTGTGGCAAAGTTGTTGATGAATGGTGAGAGAAAAGACACTTGTTGTGGGGTTCTCAAGCATTTCCCATTTATTTTCTTCCACGCATTGTCTATCATGCCCTTAATCTTCGCCTCAGCTGTATCTTCAGAAGCATTCATCTCTCGCATGTAACATAGGATTGCTGAAGGAGCATCGCCTCTCTCTTGTTCAGCCTGTTAATCAATTCATTAATTAATTAAACTAGGGAAGTAGGCTGTAAAAATTAATAAAAAAAACTATAGCAATTTGGTTAGATTTCGCCGTGTTTCATTAAGAAGAAAAATTAATAAAGAAAGAAAGTTACAGCGGAAGTTCCCATATCATTGGTGAGCCGAACTATCAGAGATATGTTATGCACAAGATCTTCATTCTTGTGCAGAAAATCAGCAATCTCTTTGATTCCGTCACGATGGGTTGTGGAGAAAAATGTATGAACCCAAGGGACTGAAACTGATGATGAAATGCATCCATTACTTAGGTACTCTTCAAAGGATGGTGCGTAGCCCGTGCTGTACCACTCTGCCTCTACTAATAATGCTTTACAGAAATCTGCCCACTAAGAGTCAAACAAATAATTTCAAGTTCAACCATAATATATATAAGTAAAGGTATGTAAAGGTATATAAAATAAATAAATAAATAAATAAAAAGGAAAAGGCCTAGCTAGGCTAGTACCGCTTTGCTCAAATGAGGTAACGCTAGATTCCAACCACTCTCCTCCTCAATTTCATGAGCAAATTCACAAGTTGTGTTGTAGAGCACTTGGAAACAGATCTTCATACACTCTGGAAGCTGCTCAGTTACCCCAACATCCCACCTAAATTTAAGGCACTTTTAATTTATGAGAATTTTATACATAAATATATGTTGCAAAATTATAACTAATATTGCTGCAATGCAAATGTACCTATCGACGGCGTTGGTGAAGATCTTTAGCTCTTCCAATGAGCCATAAATGTCATAAACGTCGTCTATTATCAGAATCAAGTTGATGACTTTACTAAGCAAAATTCGAAAAGATGTGTAGCCAGGATGGACATTTAATCCTACAGCAAACATGAAGCACTCGACCGGTCTATCTCTCGCAAACTTCAAGTGTTCTTTGAGGCCCAGATTGTTCCACCACCTTTAATGACACATCGATCAGAACCCAAAGCAACAAGTTACGTACCAAATTTTCAACATAATATTGTTTCATTTTCCAAAAAGAAGATAAACGATTCGTTCGCTTTTACTTACATGGATACTTCCCTCAGATCTTTTTGCAGTGCTGCTTGAACCATGTTAAAGTTGAGTTTAGCCAATTCAAGTAATGAAATGGTGTTGGCGTGATTGTCTTTCTCATAGGCGTGTATGTGCCCTTTGACATTAAACCACCCTACTCTTCGGTGTGATGAAAGCTCCAAAGTATGGACCACTTGCCTGGCAAGGTTATTGTCCAGATTCCAGACACTGGAACCTCTGAGAGCCACCGTAGCGGAAGCTTTCGCCTCATCTAAGATCCTTTCGCCTTCAAAAGCCAGGTTTGAGGCCTCCAAAAGTTCAAGCATGCCTTTGACATCCCAATAATTGCTTTCCTTTAATGCACCCTCCTCATCCATGAAGCCACCAACAACATCTACACGTACGTAGAGATATGTGTTTTCACCCCATACATTAATATTAAGGCAATTTGAAAAGTTAAATAACATGAAATAAGATAGTGTTATGGGAGTTGTTTACAAATACATACATGCAAACGTATGATTGCTAACCACTTCTCTAATATAAGTGAGTCCCACGTACATTGATAGAGGTGGTCAGCAAAGTAGTCAATAAATAAAGTAAAGCAAAGGACCCACAATTGTAGTGTTTTGAAGCAATTGCTCTCTCATGAAAGGTTCTAGGTTCGAATCCTAATATACATGTGTGAGTTTAGTATGTTATGCAGGGCCGTCCCTGAGATTTTGAGGGACCTGTGCGAAACTTAAATTGGGGCCTCACATAATCTAATACGAAAATACTATAAATAAAATTTTTCCATAACTTAATGTCATAAACAATTTTTTTATAACAAAAATTGTCAAGGGATTGAAAAAAGAACCAAAGAGAGATTGAATAAATGATAATGATTACTTACCAAAAAAATCAGAGTTTAAGAGCATCCACAGTGGGGAGGTGTAAATTTGGGGGTGTAAAGCTACTTTTACATCCCATTTACATCTCCGAGGGGTGTAAATACGTTTTTTGCTCCAACAGGAAATGATGTAAATCTAAAGTTGTATAATTGATTTGTTTGTCTTAATTCGTTTTTGTGTTAAATTTTTATTTTGTGTCAACTTTATAAAATTAATTTTTTTTGTATTAGGTTAATTTTATTTTTTCAAACAAATAGACCTAAAAATATTTAAATTTGGAGAATATATGATTTTATCCAAAAGTTCAAGCCCTTTGCCGTTGGCATGTTTTTCAAAAATTAAAGTTGCTGGACCTGATTTAAATGTTGGTTGTTTGCTCTTTTTGAAAATTCAAGCCGTTGGCTGTTGCAATCTAGCCGTTGGGGGGGAGAAGATGCGATGTAAATCTAAAGTTGTATAATTGATTTGTTTGTCTTAATTCGTTTTTGTGTTAAATTTTTATTTTGTGTTAACTTTATAAAATTAATTTTTTTTGTATTAGGTTAATTTTATTTTTTCAAACAAATAGACCTAAAAATATTTAAATTTGGAGAAGATATGATTTTATCCAAAAGTTCAAGCCCTTTGCTGTTGGTATGTTTTTCAAAAATTAAAGTTGCTGGACCTGATTTAAATGTTGGTTGTTTGCTCTTTTTGAAAATTCAAGCCGTTGGCTGTTGCAATCTAGCCGTTGGGGGGGAGAAGATGACAACCAAAAAATTGCACCGCATATGAATTTTTTTTCCAGCAATTACTGTAGTCATGGGTCCCACCTTTTTATGCTGACTTTTCTCCATTTTTCCTCTCCTTTTCTCATGGTGGTGATGTAATTATACATTCATTTACACCCCCATTGAGGGTGATTCCGATCACAACGGGTGAATATTTAACATACACCCCGTTATACACTCTCCCATTGTGGATGCTCTAAGAGAAAGAAGAAGCCAAGAAGGTTTTTTTGTTTTGTTTTGAATGAAGAAAGTACTTTTCTTGTAGAAGAAAACTTTTTTTTTTTCAAAGAACGATAGGGATATCCTCATGTGGTTAGCTTTTTAAAAAAAAATATATTATTATTATTATGTAAAGTTTTTAGTTATAATGCAAAAATAATATAAAAACAGGCAAATAGACCGACTTCAGTGAGATTCGAACTCTGGCGCTTCGCTAAATGGACATGCGCTGTTCCCTTGTGTAAATATTTAGCACGCTATACTATATATACAATTCCTATAATATTAATATATATATATATATATATATAATATAAAGAAATTTTTTTCAAGGGCCCTTAAGAATCGGGGGCCCTATGTGGTGGCACCGCTTGCACCACCCCAGGGCCACCCCTGATGTTATGGTCCCTCTGAATAGAAAATGTCCTAAAAACTAAATAAATAAATAGGATACAAATAACATTATAGTACGTTATATTTACCTTGCGATACTTTATAGCCATGCTGCCTGAGGATCTTAAAGTGCAACGCAGTAGCATAAAGGTTCTCTGTTATGCATGTGTTGCTATTTTCAATAGTGTCTAGGGCTTCCTTGATTTCCTTTTCAAAGTAGTTCGTGAGGCCTAGTTTTCCAATTCTGTCAATCAGCTCCAATTGAGCTATCAAATCTTCAGTTTCAACAAACATCTTCTTCACATGTTCTATTAGATTCTTAGACTGCCTTGTATAATCATCTCCCTGCACACTCAGTTAATTAATGTGTCATTCTTTTAGTAAAAATCCAATAAAATTATTAATATATCGAGAAAAGTTAATTAGGACAAAAAGAACTCACAACGTATTTGTTGTTCAGAGATTCAAGGAAACCATCCTTCCAAATATTTGGCTTGTAATTGGCAGAGCGTCTTTGGTGCTCATCAGCTTGAAAGTTTGTTTTAGGATCCATAATGGAAACTTGGTGTTTGTAAATTGTAAGGGTTTTGTTTCTAAATTGTATGGTTTTCTTGGCATTGCCCGTTATCTTTGGAGGGGTTTATATAGGCAAAGGTGTGTTTAATTTTCAAATACTGTTCATACAGCCTCACTTTCAAGCTAAAACTGAGAAAATATTTTCATTTCACTTTTTTTTGTGGAAAATATTTTTCTTTCTATTTGGTAAAACACTTTCACGTATCTTTTTTTTCTTCACCTTGACCCTTATGGGTATTATTGGACATGTTCAGAGTTGAGCTCTTTCTTGGGGGTTTCCTTGTTTCTACTTTAGTTTGTGGCCCTGTCTTCTGAGTCTCGTTTTTCTGTGCAAATTATTTTGGCACCACATGTAAATTTTCTTTAACACATGTTTGATGTTTCATCGTATGACAAAGAAATGAACACATCTTTTCATGCATGCAGTGGCGGGTCAAGAATTAATTGCGGCTTGGTTGGTGGCAGGCAACAATCTTTGTACTTGTTAGGTAAAATTTGAGAGCAACTGATCATTATTGCATGACAATAGAGTAGAGTACATGAGATAGCTTTCACTGTGTGGAAAATGTGTTGGTAATTAACACCTGGTTCACGCATTCAGTGGCTTGATTGTCGGCAACAATCTCATTTTTGGCTATATTCTGTTTGGGTCAGGATCTAGTGAGAGCGCTTATGTGAGAACATAACATGAGAACACCGTTAGATCCAATCTAACGGCTGTATGAAAAGCAATTGTAAGTGTAAGTGTTGTATTAGAACGAGGCATTCTTCTCTCTTCTCCCTCCAAAACGTCCCCTCCAAAGCAGACGTCCCCTCCAAAACAGAAGTCCCCTCCAAACCAGCTGTTTGCTCAGTTCAATGAGGAGGCCATTTTTTTATCAGCTTTGATTGAGGAAGAACTGTAACATTGAAGAGAGAGCACCCTCATTTTTTCTGGGTTTCCCATTCAGGCGAAACAAAGGAATCTTGGATTTTATAATTTCATCTTTGTGGTTGGGTTTTTGGGGTCGGGACTGTTAATGTATGAATTTTGATTAATTCTTTTGGCTTCCCTTGACAATTTTGTAATAGGTCTTTTATATGTATTTATCAAGCTCAAGGATAGATTAAGATTAGCATCTCTAAGTGTTCTTAAATCTCATCTATCCTATGGAGGTTCAAGCAATTTGACAAAGGTAAATCATGCATTGCATATCATGCATTAAAACTTTTTTCATAAAAGATGACTAGTCATCTTTGCTCAGTGCGATTTCCAGCTGGTTAACCATCTGTTTTGTCCTATTCTATTTCTCTCTCTGCTGCCATGTGTCAGTTTGACCTAAGGGAATCTTTTGTCTGTAAAAACAAGTAAATCCCTCATTTGGAAGCCGTCTCTTTTGTGTGGAAGTTTTGGAAAGATTGGCTTGCTATCTTTCTCTTCTTCTTCCTCAAGAGTAAACCATATATTTCATCTATGAGTTTTTCTAATTGATTTCTTTTTGAAAAACTGCTTTTGAAATATGAATCTGTGTCTAGCTATTTAAATCATTCTCTCATATAGATCTAGATCGGATTCGTGACTGATTTCTTCAAGAGTATGGTTTCTTGAAGAAATGGGTCTTTCTCCCTTGAATCCAAAGTTTGGCTTCGTTCTAAAGTTGGAGCTTGCAAGCTAGTGCCATGGGATGATCGAGCTGGAGAAGGAGCTGCCATTGCCATGAAGAACTAAGTTTCGAGCTTTCCTAAGTTGGAGAAGAAGATTGCACAAAGGAGGTAAAGCTCATCTTCCTAAATAGATCTAGGTTTTGCTTGAGCTTGCTTGTATTCCTTTGTAAGAATCTTTTTCTACTTAGTGGATTGCCTAGTCGGTTGATGACTCCCAGTTTTTCCCAATGGTGGGTTTCTGGGTAAACAAAACCTGTTTTGCATATCTGTAAATTTATCTGGGTTTCCCTGTTTTCCATATCTGTAAATTTATCTGGGTTTCTGTTCTTGGCGGTTGACTAGTCATCTATATCTGCTGTTTGCTGTTTACTTGATATTGATGACTTCACACACTTTCACCATAGTTGTTGCTAGACGCTTATGTGAGAACATAACATGAGAACACTGTTGGATCCAATATAACGGCTGTATGAAAAGCAATTGTAAGTGTAAGTGTTGTATTAGAACGAGGCATTCTTCTCTCTTCTCCCTCCAAAACGTCCCCTCCAAAGCAGACGTCCCCTCCAAAACAGAAGTCCCCTCCAAACCAGCTGTTTGCTCAGTTCAATGAGGAGGCCATTTTTTTATCAGCTTTGATTGAGGAAGAACTGTAACATTGAAGAGAGAGCACCCTCATT